GATAATCTGTAGTACGAAACCACAGGTTATCCCATTCCACCCTCCTACCACACCGCAGTGGAAAGACAATATCATCATGGTGAGGGAGGAGGAGGACAAAGTGACTGGCACTCTCACCACGCTAGTTGACTTTTTTCTGCTTCTGTGGGACAGCCTCGAACCAGACAGAAGTGGCAGTGCAGAAAAAGCAAAAGTAAGAAAGAGCCATTGCAGTCTGCCCCTTGTTCTTAAGGTGGACCGAGTTACCCCATCATACGCTAACCTTCCCAGTCACACCTATTAACGAACTGCGACAGTTTACGGGCACGTCTGTCTGCTTGTGACAGGGGCCTAACCGCTTGATCCAAACTGTATCGACCTCACATCCGTATCACGGGAAAATCTGAGTAAAACCGACGGCAGTGGGGGGGTCTGATTGCAGGGGACTACGAGTGAGTGAAGAGCCTGTCGAATGCACATCGCGTGTCATAAATGGTACGTCGTTCGTTACTACATCATTTCCGTGTGAATCATCAGTCAAAATGTCTGGATAATTCACATGCATTAGTACGTTGCCAGAAAACCACTCGACGCCCGAAAAATGTGGTAGATAGGACGAATGTGACAGCAGTGTGTTGGGAGTCCTAGCATTTGCGTTCCAGTCCTGCTACGATGGATTCAGGCACGTCTGATTAGGAAAACCATGTCGTGTAGCAGATACGCACGTCTGTGCATGTTATACACCTATGCGGACGTCCACCTGCGCGGTATTGACGGCTCAGCGGTGCAACTGGTAGGAAAGAATTGCTTATGTGGGTCCAGGTTTCTCCGTACACATCCGGTTCTCTTTTTCGCGAACATTGCATCAGAGGGCCACAGACGCGGCATTGTAGCTGAGTATATAACCGCTTCCTTCATATGAGTCACTTGATTGCAGCAGAGGGGCTTTGAAGACGGCTCTACAGGTGTCTAATAGGGACGAACCAGAGCTAGAAAATACTACCACTATATGGATAGGTTCATGGAATATCTTCAGGGAAGGCAGTATGGATAGGCGTTAACTCTACGGGAAGATCAAATGATAAGAAGGTTCTTCGATCGCCTGAATCAGTTCTTCATTTATCTGAGGTTCTACCTCCCTATAAGTGTTACTTCTTCTGTTACCGTCTTTATCTCTGATGATGGACTCCTGTACCAGTTCGAAAGCTCGGGTGAATAAAAGTATGGTCACCGCAAACGAACAGTCTTCTTCTCCCCTTCCTGTATATACACCCGGGATGCGAAAGTTCGCCTCAAGATTCGAAGGCGTCCAATAAGGCTGTATTTGTGTCTTGAAAGTAAATGGGCAGTGGCGACTGGCTGAGAGGCATTCGATGGCGTATCACGTGCTGATCACTTGGCCTTGACTCTCTGTGGTTGGCTGACTGTGGAGATGATTATTTCCTTTAGTACGACAGGTTTTTATGCCCAGCCGATCTCTGTAGGTGTTGCCGCAGACTGTTGGTTGATTTGAGGCATGAGCACAGTAGCCGATGCATACTTTCATCAACATGCCTCTCCACATTGTGTCAATGCAAACATTGCCGTCGAAAATTCGCTTAGACAGGTGTTTAGCAGTCATCCTCACGACATGGTCGCTCCATCGAAACGGAGGATTGTTCGAACCACAATCCTGAGCAGGCTCCGTTTCATGGTAGAGGCAATATTTACAGTTGCCGAAGATCTGGCTGACTTCGAAGTACTGAGTTACACTTTCCTCGTCGGTTTTGCTATTCCTTAAGATATTTTGGCGGCAAAGACAAGGGAGACTGGAAGGGCCATTTCTGGCTTATTAACCGCCGTCAGCCAGTCATATCCAGACAAAGTAGCGCCCCACCGGAGCCTTGAACTCGCGACCTCTTTGACCAGGGTCAAACGTCCTAACCATTTAGTCACGAGCTCGCTCCCTCGCCGATTTAGGTCAGGGGATGTTGACACTCATTGATGAACGTTGAGCCGACCGCTAACGGAACTCATCTGTCCTGCTCTGCCTGGGATCTCGACAGAGGCCCTGATAGCCCTAACAGCTGACAGTATAGGCAGATAGTATTGTCTTCAGATGGTGCTAGATGGGCGCATGGATTGTTTTACAGGTGAAATTTGATTTCTTGATAAAAAAACAGGGCGAAATGGACTGTGGC